AGAAGCACCTGAAGAAGGCCTCATTATTATTGTCAGTCAACTTCCACATGATCCTCGTGCTGCTGTTCATCTGGATCGTGACCCAGAAAGATCAGAAGTGCTCGTCCAGGCTGTGTAGGATATTTGTGGTTGAGCTGTGGGAAGGCTCAGGTGGCAGGTTCAGGCCTCATTCTGCAGTTAGAGGGCGGGTCACCATCTTATGTGCGGATTCCTGCGGTACACAGTAGAGTAAGTGCAGGGTAGCGGGAACTGCACAGCTCAGTGGGGACTGTGATATCCCCTGCTGGTCCAAAGTGGGGGTAGGAGTGCTGCTCCATCAGGGTGGATGACAGGAGACCAAAGAGATCGTCTGCCTCTCCCCGGCTCAGTTTGTGGTAGGCCGCAGCAGGATTTCTCGGGTCTCCATTAGAGTGCCGCCTCAAGTGAGGTACCAAAATGTGCAGGAGTGTACCCCCAACCCGAGGGGTATCAGAGAAGAGGTGTTGTTGCAAGTTTACTCGTGTTAACACCCCAGAATCAGCAAATAATTTGGGAGCCCCTGCACCACAAATCTGCTCTGCTCTGCAGGTAGGCTCCGTCCTCCGTAATTTTCATTTTTAAATGTGGATGTATGTAGTATTGGTATTTGAAAATAAAAAGGGGTGTGTCTGTAAGTAGCGCTGGTGTTTGTTTGCAGGAATGTATGCACATACATACATGTTATAGCTACATATTTACAGTTATCCATACACATTAACACAGATACATATAAATACACTGACACATACAAACAAATTCATATAGACATGCACACACATAAATGCACACACATAAATGCACGCCTTGACACAAACAGACACATGCACACACTATGACTCACAGATACATACACTGATAAACACACTTGCACACCCTGACACACACACATACTAGCACATGCACACACTGACACAGATACACACACGATAAGGAGCACTTGATCAAATTGGATTTCGTGCCCTTGCTTCTGATTGGGCGGCAAAACCCCTCTTGTCCTTGGGCGCTGATTGGTGCAAATTGGTTTTGCGCCTTTCAGCGGATTGGTACAATCTAGTTTTGCGCCCTTTCTTCTGACTGGGCAGCAAAATCCCTCACCTCCCCAAACATCGATTGGTGCAACAGAGTTTCACGCCCTTTCTTCGGATTGAGTGGTGAAACTCCTTCCTTCCCCGAGCACTGATTGGCGTGACTTGGTTCATGCCCTTTCAGCTGATTGGTTGTTGCTTGGTTTGGGCGCGAAGTTTGAATTTGCCAGACTAAACTAAGCAACACCATGGAACTAATTTCGGGGATGTACAGAGCCTCGAGCCCCGGGGCTCTCTAGCAATGTAGGTTTTAACCCTGTAACCCCTTCCCGGGGCGCTGTACTTCCCCTTAAACCTCCAAAACTGTGTCGTCCTGTTATTGGAAGGAAGGAAGATTTACCCCGTGTCTGCTGTTCCAGCTTGAAGGGGACGCAATGGGGAAATGTCCTTGTAAGGACTAAGAGCTTCCAGGGATGAGTGCCATCTTGGCCTGGGAGCGCATAGAGCTAAGTCCCCTAACTATGCAAGAGTTCCTGATCGGCTGAAGGAAGGGAACTAGCGGGAGGTAACCGGTCGGTTTAAAAAAAAAAAAAACTTTTTACACAAATCTACTGTTAACTTATGTTATTTTTTTTTATTAAGGTAAATGCACAAAATATACATGCCAGTAGGGGTGCACCATAATGAAAATTCTGGGCCAAAACTGAAAATTCAGGATGCCCTTGGCCGAAAACTGAAAGTTTTCCCCAAATGATTTTAAAAAAGTGTTTTTTTTCTATAATTCTTTTAATTAGACTTTTTAATGAATCTAATATAAAAAACTTCCCTTCTCTTTTAGTGCCCCCCCCAATGTTCCTCTCCCCTCCCTCTTTTTAGTGTTCTTCCCCCCTCCTTTCCAGTTCCATAGTGTTCTTTTTTCTCCCTGTCCCATAGTGTTCTTCCCCCCCCCCTCCCTTCCCCTGTCCCATAGTGTTCTACCCCCCCTCCCTTCCCCTGTCCCATAGTGTTCTACCCCACTCCCTTCCCCTGTCCCATAGTGTTCTACCCCACTCCCTTCCCCTGTCCCATAGTGTTCTACCCCACTCCCTT